GGCCGGCTGCAGCCCGGACCCCCAGCTGGGTCTCAGGGTGCCTCTCGGCCCTCGTGTCCAGCCAGGGCGACGGAGCCCGCTCCTGGGGAGCACTGCAGCCGTGGCTTTGGCACAGCCTGGTCGGAGATGTTGTTCTGACTGCTGCTCCTGGGGAGGAAGCCTGCTGGAAGAGGTGAAGTGGATTTCTCCAGGGCTTCCTCAGAGGGCTGAACCCCGGCCTGGCCTGAGCTTCTGGCTGGAACAGGGCCTCGTGGTGGTCTGAAGAGCCGTTTTCTGTCTCTGATGGGCTGCTGTCGTTTCAGAGGTCCTGTGAGGACTGGGGAGGTTCTCGATTAATCCGTGTGGCGGTGTGCGTGATTGTGGCTTTAGCTCTGGATTGCAGGATTAAGGCTAGAGGCATAGGAACGCGTGCTGGGGGTTTGGGATTGGGGTGGGTTTTTTTTTTCCCATGCCCTCTACGGCATGGTTGTTGCTAAATATCTGTTTGTGGGAGGGGTTACCCTAACGGAGCTGATGAAGATCGGGCGCTGGTGACGTGTGGGAGGAAACTGTTGCCCAGTCTGTAGGTTGGTGATCAACAAGTGGTACCTCTGTACTTGCGTGAGACCAAACTAATGCATTTCTTAACGGATCAGGGCAGGATACCTGGTCCTGGAAACTGGCTGCTATTTCAGCTGCTAGAATCAGAGCTGTTTAACACTAAGGCTGTTCCTGTGTGGAGTGCGGGGATCTTTCAGACCTGGCTCTGCTGTTGGGAGCTGCCTTGCGGCTGGTGCTGTTCACCTGGCAGCGTGGATCCTTCGCCACAGGCATGGTGCTGGCTTCGGCGGGCTCTGGCTGTTCAAGGAGATGGCTCCTGTGGTCTGTCGCTTGCAGGTGCTGACCGGGCCATTTGTTAGGTGTTTGATCTCTGCTCGGTCGGCATGTTGGAAGGTGGTGCACACCTTCCGCTAATGCTGCAGAGAGGGAGCCGGCGCCGCTGGGGACAGGCATGTGGATACTGGTGAATCGTCTGCCGTGTGTGCGTCTGTTTATTACATTCATGCTTTCAAAAAGGGCTCAGTCGCAGGGAGATTTGGAGTAAACAGAAATCAGTGACTTGGGACTTCAGTTCTTTAAAGCTCTCACTGAAAGTCTGTTGCCTCCGTTTCCCGAAAGCTACAGGTGTCTTAGGAGGAGGCATTCTTCCGCACACGGAGAGAGGACAACACATAGTGCTTGGGAGGTGAACTGTAGCCCGGAGGCGAGATGAAGGATTGCAGTAAGGGGATCAAGCAGTAAGGTGGATGCTTGAGTGTTTGCTTAGCGCTTCTGGAAGTCTTCAAGGTTGGAGGCTTTTTTGGACAGGAGCACAAAGGAAGTGACTGGGTTTGATACGGAGATACCAGGGTGAAATCTAATCGGTTGTTTGTATATGACATGAGATTAAATGGCCTTTTGAATACAAATTTCCACGCTATTCGGATATTGGAGAATGCCGTGTGGGAGGGCCAGCTGTTTGTTGTAAAGTGTAGGGGTCAGTACCAGCAGTTGTTGGGAGTGGTAAGTGCGAAGGTGCAATGGGAAAAGCTCCCCTCTGCAGACACGCTTGTGCCACGCAGTGCCAAAATCCTTGTGATAACCCCGAAGTGTCACATTGGCCCCCCACCCTTGTCTGGTGGTAAGTCTTAGTCAAGCTTTAATACCCAGAAACACCAGTTGGGTCCATTGCGAGTAATCTACGCCCCGGAGAGCCCGAGAGCTGTGCCAGCCTCTCTGGGGAAGCTCTGCCAGCCCAGGACAAGTCAGCAAGTCTGCTCTCAGGTTGGACAGCGGGCAAGGAGCGGGTCCCCACCGGGGGCCTGGCCGCAGCTCCGCCTCAGCACCAGCTCCCTCAGCTGAGAATGCTGGCGAGTGGGCTGGCCACCGGTCCTCCTCCCCCTTCCCTTTCCTCTCTCCTCGTGTATTTGCCAATCGGTCTGCTGTGGTCTCTTCTGACGGAGATGTGCAAAATTTCACTTTCTGTCTCTCATCTGTCTCCTTTGCCCTGTTCCCCAGGAAAACATTCATAATATTTATGGCTAAAAATATTAGTGGAGCCCAGGTGGCACCTCTGCTGTTCTGCTATTGCAGCCATCGCCCAGCTCGAACTGGACGTGGAGTCAGGCTGGCTCCGGCGTCTGCAGAACTTGCCTTGCATCGCCAAAGCGTGCTCTGCAAACTGTGTGTGACCAGTGTCGGTGCAGAGGCCTCTCTTCCCCCCTGGGGTGGCACATTGGGTAGAAACGGAACCATTGGACTGTGTGCTATTGTGTCCATTAGCTCAAAGACAAAAAGAGCGGTGGTTAGCGCGTTTAGGGTGAGCTGTATGAGAAGCTTCAGGTGCGTGCAGGTCACAGGTACGCCTGTATTTAAGGACATCGTGTCTGTTTGTTGTATTTGTAGCAAATGTCGTAGTTCTTGATTTATTTGGAAACTAGGTGCCAGAGCAGCAAACGCAGCTCCGCAGTCTGTTGTGAGTTGTGTGTGCTAGCGCAGAGCTCCAGGCGGGAATATTGAACAGGATGCGGGAATGCCTGGATCCATCAGCAGATCATTTGTGAAGGATTTTGCTGGTACAAAAAGCCTTTCTAAAGCTGTCACTGGAAGAGGTTTTGAGTCTTTAGGGAGTCCAAGTTGATATTTGCTGTAGGATGACCCCTAGGACAATGTGCCCTCTGGAACATCGGGAATTACTGAGGTTGTCATTGGCGTTTACCGAGGTTTTTAACGGGGTGTTGGCATCAGCTTTCACCAGCCCTCAGTGTGCAGCTGGGTGCTTCCTGGTTAGAGTCTCGGGCAGCCGAGCCAAACCCCACACATGTGTTTAATCCGTTATCTGTTTCACTGGCCGTGTGTGACACAGATCTTTGAGAAGGACGGAGCGTGCGATCAGCTGAACCGGGTGTCTCGTTCTGCTCCTCCGAGGCACCTCGTGCAGAGCAGATTGATGTGATTGAGTTACACACTGTGAGCTCCAGATTGCAGCAGAGGCTCCTCGTGGGGCAGAGGCCAGTTCTTCGCTGGAACCGTGTGTTGTAGAGAGCAGAACTGAAGAGGGTTTATTCTGGGCTCAGGTTTATTAGGAGGGAAAGCCTCACCCAGTTGTTCTTGCGGAGGAAAGCGTTTTCTCTATGGCTGTTCCAGCTCATGAGTAAAGCACCGAGGCTGAATTTTTCCTGCCCTCTGGCGTGGGCCTCCATGGGCTGAATGCGAGACCTGGCCTACTGGAGGAATCTGCAGGGGCTGCAGGGCACAGGTGCTTGGCAGGGCTGTGTCCCCTGAAGGCCCCCTGGGGACAGCCCGTGAGGGGCCCAAGCGAGAGAGGGAGCCTGCGGAGCCGCAGCGGAGCGGTTCTGGGGAGGCCTGGTTGGTGCTGCCGGGCTGCGTGGCTGGGGAGGAGCCCGCGCTGCTGGAGTAAGTACGTGCAGTTACACTTCTCCTCCCTACTTCAGTGTAACTCGCGCGTGTGAGGATGGCAGAGCAGGAGCCGACGGCGGAGCAGCTGGCCCAGATTGCAGCTGAAAATGAGGAGGATGAACACTCTGTCAACTATAAGCCACCTGCCCAGAAGAGCATCCAGGAGATCCAGGAGCTCGATAAGGATGATGAGAGCCTGCGCAAGTACAAGGAGGCACTGCTCGGTGCCGTCACTGTGACTGCAGGTGAGCCCTAGGATGTGGCTGTGCCTCGCTTGAGCCAGAGCTCCATCCGTCACCCCTGCGCCTGCCCGGGAGCTGTTCTCCTCCCAGCTCTTTGAGCTTCGTCAGGAGCACACGTGTCTGCGCTCCCCTCTGCTGATCTCTGGCCCTCGGAATAAGGCACAGGGACTGAGGGGTGGCACTCTGCCTTTAGAGGGGGGAAGTCTTGGGGAGCCTGCGGGCTGGGCCCAACATGGTGGGGAGCCCTGACCATCACCGAGGGGGATGTTGTTCTCACTGGTTTTCTCGCTCTCTCAAGAAGTGCCCTGAAAGGAAAAGGAGTTGTGTTGGTTGGTGTTAGGGACACCTGTTTAACAGCCTTTTTGCTTGTCTTTTAGATCCCAATGCTCCAAATGTGGTGGTGACCAAACTGACTTTGGTCTGCGCTACTGCTCCTGGCCCTCTGGAGCTGGACCTGACAGGTGAGCTGGGAAGGAATTCCAGCCCTTCTCTCAAAGCTGGCTTGGTGCGGAGCCTGGCAGAAGGCCCTGCAGGAGCACTGCTGGCACTGTGGGCCAGCCCTCGGTGTCAGAAATGCCCCTGCACTGGATGCAGAGCAAGGTGCCGTACTCTGAGCCTGGCGGCTGTGTCCCCCATCGCAGCAGCAGGCCTTTCTGCTTCCACTCCCTTGCCAGGGAGTTCTGTAGAGGTGTGAGCCACCGGGCGGGGGAGCCAGCTGTCCTGCAGCCTGTGCAGCGACACTAATGGCAGCTTCGAGATGGCGATAGCCTCGGAGCAAATGTCTGCAAAGGAACATTCTTGAATTAACTGCATTGCTGCGCTGCAGTGTCCTTTCACAGGGCGTCGCCTGCCCACCTAGGGCAGCGTAGCGAGGGAGGGTCCTGCCATGCAAAAACGCCCTGCATGCTGTCCAGGCAGTAAGGGTCATCCCCTGCTGCTGCCAACGCTGTCCTGATCGCCTCTTGCAACGTAAATTTGCCCCGGAGCACAATACAAAAGGACTTGGCAACACTCTCCTGTCCTGATCGCCTCTTGCAACGTAAATTTGCCCGGAGCACAATACAAAAGGACTCGGCAACACTCTCTTTTCTTTGTAGGTGACCTGGAGAGCTACAAGAAGCAAGCATTTGTGCTGAAGGAGGGTGTGGAATACCGGATAAAAATCTCCTTTAGGGTAAGAATTCAGATCTGAAAAGCAAAGAATGAGTGTGATACAGGACTGCTGCAGTCCCAGCATGGGGAGCGCCTGAGCCCCGAAAAGTGGCGTGATGGAGGAAGCTGCCTCCCGCTGTGGGTGGGGTAGGCAGCGTGGCTAGGAGGCGTCTTCTCCAGTCCTTGCTCGTCTCTCTGCAGGTTAACAGGGAGATTGTGTCAGGGTTGAAGTATATTCAGCACACGTTCCGGAAAGGCGTGAAAAGTAAGTGCTTCTCTGCGACTCGGGTGCTGCTTTGCGTGAGGGCTTCCTGCTCTTTGCGCTGCGGTGATGGGGGCTCGCCGGCTGGTGCCCCCACAGCTCGTCATGGGAGGGGACAGTCTGCAGTCGCGTCCGTGCCGCTGAGCCCATGGCGCTGTGTGAAGGCT